CTGTTACCAGCCTCTTTCCCTCAACCCCCTTATTATCTGACTCTGGTTTGCCATACTGCATGGTGGCATTGAAGGATTAGCTTCTGGGCCTGAAAGAAACAGAAATAGTTGTGATTCCTACCAAGCTCAGTTAGCAAATTCCTTGTCTCATTTGTAAGGTGCCATAATGACAAAGTGATTGAATGACTTTGGGGACTGTGGGGCTACAGTAGGCAGGAGGACTTGCTCACAGCTTGTTTCACACAGTGAACAAAAGAGCCTTTCTTTTCAGTGATTATGGAGAAAAAAGGTTTAAGAACATAGTTCAGTAACTGGAGGTAAGTGAACCCTTCCTTATTCTGCGCCTGGCTATCCTCCTCTTCCCATATGTGTGGGCACATATTTTTTTTATTTAGTTAGTTATTTGTATCCCATCTTTATTAATTTTACAAATAACTCAAGGCGGTGAACATATCCAACAAAATCTTCCTCCTCCTATTTTCCCGTGCGCGTGAGGCTTTTTTAAACAAGAAAACCTGTTAATCACACAAAATATTTTAAATTTGGTCTCAGCAGAGCCCAGATAAGTTTAGACTTGATTCTCTGCCACTCTCTGTCTATACACACAATCATATACTCTTTGTCAGCTGCCACAGTATTTATATAAAAAGCTTTTGATCTTCCATTTTTTGACTATAAAAGTGATAATTAACCATCCATACCGGGGCTGTGGGTAGAGGTGCAATGTTATAGATGTACATGGTTACTACAAAATTGAGATCCGCAATAAGATGAGCTTAGATTTATCCAGGGTGGATTAGAATCAAAGTACGGATTTTGGGTGGGATAAAAACAGCAACTTTTATCCCAGTCAAAATTTTTAAGTATCTCAGCCACTACTGCCCCACTGACAAGAAAATGTGGGCTATAGGAAATTGGACCTTTAATATCCAGTTTGCTGACACCCAGTGATTCTTCATTTGGAACTTCCTATCAGATGACTCAAATGAGAAAAGCTGAAATAAAGGTATGGCTCAGGTAGCAGGTTACACCAACAGAAATCCATCCTGATGGCAGTTGGTTATTCTCCTGTCAGCAAATGTTTAATTTTAGCAATACTTGTCTGGTTATTCTGGATTCTTTGAGGTTTCAGTGACGTGGACAGGGTGTGTGAATAGATTGCCACTCTTTTTTTCCCAACTCTTGGCTCTCTGCCCCTTATTTATTTGCATTGATTTGATTTATTTGCTTCCCATCTCCCCTCAAGGCGACTCTAGGCAGCTTACAATATTATAACCAAATAAAAAAAATTAAAACTATAAATGGCAATATTAAACTAATTTAAAATTGATGAAGATGGGGAGGAAGGGAGCAAGATGCACACCGGGGGGGGGGAGGTTATTTTAGTCCATTAATCACTCCAGGATGATGTATCCCCCATTGGCACCTCAAGCCAATTGACAGAGCCAGAACTTCAGCCCCTTTCAGAAGGCCAAAATTGTGGGTGTGGATCTCACCTTGGGGGACATGATGTTTCAAGAGGCAGGAAAGGCTCTTCTGGACCTCACCAGGCAAAACTCCTTCCACTGATGGGGTCTGCAGCATGCTCCTTTCTGCAGGAGTAGGTGGGATGAGCTAATCCCCCTGAGAAACAGTTTCTCAGATAGTCTGGATCTGTGCCATGAAGAGCTTTAAAGATGATATCAATCACCTTGAATTCAACCCGGAAGTAAACTGGCAACCAGTGCAGCTTGTGGAACAGCGGTGTAACAAGGACCACCCTAAGGGCCACAAGAATTGTCCTCATGACTGCATTCTGCACCAGCTGTAGCTTTGAAATCCTCTTTAGGGTACCCAGTGGTGGGATTCAGCCAGTTCACACCACTTCGTGAGAACTGGTTGTTAACTTTCTGAGCAGTTTGGTGAACTGGTTGTTGGAAGAAATCATTAGGGCAGAGAACCGGTTGTTAAATTATTTGAATCCCACCACTGGGGTAGCCCCATGTAGAGCTGTTGCGATAGTCCTAACGTGAGATGACTAGGCCTTGAGTGGACTGAGTTCACAGACGCCCAATCCAGGAAGAGGCACAACTGGCGCCCAACACAAAGTTGCAGAAAGATCTCCTAGCCACGACCGCCACTTGCTCATCAAGCGGGAGTCGTGAGTCAAGAAGAAATTGTGCACTGAGTCTGTCTGGGGTGGTGGGACCCTATCCAAAACTAAAGATGTCAAACCCTTGGTTCTTGACTCCATGCACGCAGCCACTCAATCTTACCAGGGTTCAGCCAAAATCCATTGTCCCCCATCCTGGACCTCACTGGACCTCACTCTGTATCAATACTAATTAGGACCTGCCTTGGAGAAAGGAGCCAAATCAGTGCAAGACTTTGTCATCCAGCCCCAAAAAGATACCACGGCATCTTTGTCACTCACAGGTATTCCCATGGTCAATGCTACTGAAGGCTGCTGAGAGGTCAAGAAAAGCAAGAATAGTTGCACTGTATCCATTCTGCACTTGCCAGAGATCATTGACCAGCCAATGCTGTTTCTGTTCCATAATCAGGCATAAATCCTGACTGGAAGGGGCCAGATGATTCCTTGCTTCCATTCATTTCTTGTTTATTTTATTTTACTATGGTGGCATGCTGGCCTTTTCTTAGCTTAAAATAAATTTTATATATTTACTGTGATTTATGATATGAAACTATTCATGCTAATAATTTATACTTTTATTTGTTTCAATATGCTACAGTATTCTGTCTATGCATCTATGTCATTTTTTTCCTTCCACTTTAATTTCAACATAACACAGTTTTATATTTTAAAATGTCTGCTTTGGTAGTTAATTTTTTAGAAGAATACAAAAATCTGGGAAACCTTTGCAAAGCAATTGGGAAAGCTTTCAAACAAAGGAGGAGTTCATGTTTTGTTATCAGAACTGTTTCTGATTTGCCTTGCAAACATTTGCTAGAACCTATCTATTTGAGCCAATTGCCTTCATTCAGGTTGTTTATAGCTGTGATAAACTAGAGGTTACTTCTCAGTTAAATAACCTTCTTTAAAAAAGATCTTTAATTCTCGTAAACTCGCTAACGGTTATTTTATAGCAACCGGAGGAATTAAATAGTTCACCATTATTTCCTTTTTAGCTTTTTTATTGTCTCTCTGGAATGGTGTATAAATGTGGTTTATCTCTATGGCTCTATTGATGGCTGATTTGTCTGAATGCCAAGCAACCAGAAATTCCCTAGCATTTTTTGGCATTTAGCTTGATCTAGGATGCTCACACTTTCCCAGTTGAAATGGTGATTGAGTTTGTAATTTTTAAGAGTTTTCATTGTGTCTTTTTGACTGCTAGTTGGTGTTCATGGATGCGCTCTGCTAGTTTTCTGCCTGTCTAGCCTACATTGCGGCTATCATAATCATGACACTATATCAGTGGTGGGTTGCTCCTGGTTCGGTCCGGTTCTATAGAACCGATAGTAAAACTGGTGGGAGGCTCCGCCCACCCGTCCTGATGTCATCATGGGCAATCTGCGCATGCGTATAAGTGTGCATGTGCATGCATGCTCCCATTGCGAACCAGTAGTAAAGGTAAGTGGAACCCACTCCTGTTCCACTACAACTATATGTTGTAGATGACTTCTGCTTTTCCTTGTTGATTTATTCTTTTCTTCTTATTATGTTAAGATGTTTTGAAGGGCTTTGGTTGGTCTGATACTATGTGGTTGTAATGGTCTGTTGGTTGTTTCTGATATGTTTATAATGTATGGCAGTATTGCCCTTTGCATAGCTTGTGTTGATCATGCTATGGTAAATCGAGTGGTCAGGCACCTTTTGATAAAACCACATGGGTATCCATCCATTTTGTTGAAAGATGTTGGATAGAGAATCTGTTTCCTTTTTCCGCTACTCTGGGTTGCTTCATTTTGCTTGTAATTGTCTGAATAATGTTCTGACACAGCTCCTCTGGTGGGAGGTTGGGTTGTTACTCTGGTAATGGAGCACTTGGTTAGCGGTTGATACAGGTCTCAATCCTGAAAGACTCTACCAAAAAACCAGGTCTTTATAGTTTTCCAGAAGGACATCAGAGTGGAGCTCATTTGTGGGATTGCTAGTCCTATGAGGTCTGCCTTGGTAGGCATGTTCCAGCTCCCTTCAACTGAATAATGTGTTTTTGAAGGATTATGCAGTGAGGGCTTCTCTGTTGCTACTTCATTTCCTAAGAACACTGCTTCAGAAAGACATCAAGAGCTTGGTTTTTCAAGGAGCTAGGGACCAGGGTGTTTTGCGATCCCCATGGAGTGATGAGAGATGGTTGAAACTGTATTTATGTACTTCCCCATTTAATGTTTACAGTTTTCACACACTGAGTGTTATTTTTATTGGTTTTTGAATATAAACTGCCTATGTCCAAATTGGTGGCTATATAAGACAAATAAATAAATAGCCTATCAAGCCTCTATGTTTAATTGGGGGTTGAAGTATAATGTTTATATTAGTGTTGTAAAATCTGAGAAAAATATCTTTGTAAAAATATATGTAAGATGGCATCTGACCAAATCAATTAACTTATTTAGCCATGTTGTATTTACATATTTCATCGTATATTATCTCATAGCTAATTGTTCTTCAAAGTTGTTTCGGTTTCATATTTTTCATTCCTGGCAAACTGAATAGTCATACAAGAAAGTTGTAGGGCCTGGAATTCATATTGCATGTAGTTATATAGTTAAATCATAGAATAAGTTCTTAGAATACATTATTATCTTAAAAAATATCAATCAATCAATCAGAATAGAGCTGGAAGGGACCTTGGAGGTCTTCTAGTCCAGCCCTCTGCTCATCAGTGATTTACGTTTGTATTGCCTGTGTATGTGCATATGGGAGGATTCTTTTTCTAAGAATTCATGGGATAGTGGGTTAAACTCTTGTGTATTTCTACATGTTGTATAGAAGGAATAGAAAAACACAAATGGCCTTCACATTTAGATTGCTAATGTCTTTTGTTTTCTTATAGACAATCATGGAACAATTTAATCCCAGTCTCCGGAACTTCATATCTATGGGAAAGAATTATGAAAAGGCCTTGGCAGGTAAGTGAAATAACACTGTATTACTTCGTCATGGTTGTAAAATGACAACTGTAGAATTGGCACCTCTTTTTTTTTATCTTTGGTGATGGCAAAGGTGGGGAAAACTAGTAGTATCTGTGGAAAGTGTTGCAGCATTATTCTTAGAGCTAAAGAGGCTTTCAGCTATCCCAGATAAGCTACAAAGCAGTTCTTTGAATTAAGTTACAAGGATAGTATTCTTTATGATATATGAGGCATGAAAGCTCTCTTTAAGATGATGTTTTAGAGTGCCATAATACAGAAGATCTTTCCAGTTATGAGCCATTAACAGGCTGCTGGTTGACCAACAAGATAATCCATTCTGTATTGTTAGGACTTCCGTTTTCTTAGTCTCTCTATGTCAGGGGTGTCAAACTCAATTTCATTGAGGGCCGCATCAGGGCTGTGGTTGACCTTGGGGGCCGGCCGGGCGTGGCTGACTGGGTGAGCGTGTCCAGTTTGACGCCACTCCCCAAACTCTGGCATGTTTTCTCTTTGCATTGGGTAGACCAGGCCGAAGCCACGCTGGCCGGATATTTCCTCTTTGCATTGGGTAGATCAGGCCAAAGCAATGCGAATAGACCGGGCTGAGCCAATGCATGTAGACTGGACCGAAGCAACGCAGGCAGGCCCCTTACATTTTCCAGGATAGCCCCGCGGGCCGGATCCGGTCACATCATGGGCCAGATCCGTCCCATGGGCCTTGAGTTTGACACCCCTGTTCTATGTCATCTTCTCTTTCTGTACTTTCTTAACATACTGTACCTTTTTAAAAATAACAATTGCAGACTGTAGTGTTGTATTTGCCAGTATAGAGTCTTATTTTTAAGCTGAATTGGTAGAGATATGCAAAAGTTTTGAATTTAAATGTTTTTGAAATTGAAATGCCCTACATCAAGTTTAGAATAATTGTTTTGAGTGCAAGATGCCCCGTTTCAAGTTCAAAATAGGCATTTCAATCATTTTTAAAGTGTTTAAAGTTCAGTGACACATAAGATGAAAGCTTGGAGTTAAAATTAGGCAAAAATGGTTTCATGTTGTCAACTTTAGCCGCTGTGTCTATTGCAATTTTATCCACATTATGGATGTAGTGGGATTGATGAATAATTTACTTAAATCTTACGTCTTGACGGCACAGGTAGTCCTCGCTTCATGACGAGTTGCTAAATGATTGTTTGGAGTTACTTTGGAAAGGGTGTTTTATGGCCTGCAAAGTTTTCCTGACCATTGTAAAATGTCACCCTGGTCTCCCACGGTCACATGACCGGTTGCAACTGACTCACATTTATGAATGGTTGCAGCTTTCTGTGGTCACATTATTGCAATTTTTGATGCTTTTTGCCAGTTTTCAGCAAAAAAAACAGCAAAAAACACCAATTGGATATGCTGGATTCATTTAATAATTAAGTGGTTTGCTTAAGGACTGTGGTGACTCATTTTATGATCATCGCAAAAGCAGTTCCATAATCAAATCAGGTCACATGACCATCCTGATTTATGGCCAAAATTCCAGACCCAACTATGGCCATAAATCAAGGACTATCTGTATTTCACATCAGTCTTTGTAACGTATGTTATCATGACAACCTTCTTAGGCAAGATCAGCTGTATACAATGTTGTAGAGGAAAACAGGGGTCGAGTTGGTGAAGGAATTCAAGAACTGTTAACAAACAAAAGAGACAGTAAATGGCTGTGGGAGGCAAGTGTTCCAGCCCTAGGACAGGTGAAAACATGAGAAAGAGATCAAAATACTCAAAATAACCACTGTATAATGTAGATGCAGTAACCACATCTCCTATATTATAAAGGGTAGCATTAAATACAAAATAGTATCTAATTACTAATCGGGGTGTGTTTCCTGAAAAAATTCTTCTTAAATGATTTCACACTCCCTTTGTTGTTCAATGACTTTGCCAGCTTGGTTGAAATACAGCATTGGCCAGCATCCTTGGGATTTTTGCGTGCTGATTTTTATTTAAATAAAATTTGTGCCATCAAGTCATTGTTGACTCTTAGTCAACCCATAGATCTCCTCTAGGATTATGTATCCCTGATTTCGCCATTCAGGTCTCTCAAAAGTGCGCTTATCACCACTGTAATCATATCTGGCATCCAGCCACCTTGTGGTTGGTTATCTTCTTTTTCCTTCTACCTTTCCCAGAGTTACAGAGGTTTTTTTCAAGGGAGCTGTGTCTTTTCATAGTATGAGCAGAATTCGAGCATAGTCCTTTGTTCTATGATTAATGTGTTTGTTTTCTTGTATTCTCAAGATTCTTCCTCAACACACAAAGTTCAGAAGTGTCAATACTCTTTCTATCCTTCTTCTTTAGAGTCCAAGCTTTTGCTTCCATAGTGCCACAAGAAAATAATTGCCTGCACAATTCTGATCTGTGTGCACATCACAGTATCAGTATATCTTTTCTAAGTCCTTAATTGCTACCCTACCGGGCGCTAGTCTGTGGCTTATTTCTTGACTGCTGGTTCCTTTATTGTTGATAAAACTATCTATCAAAAGGCTAAAAGGAAGAAACTACCTACCATTTCAGTGTCAATTCTACGGTTGGTCGCAGCACCTGGTATTGTTAATTTGGGCTTTTGTATGTTTAATATGTCATTTTTTTCACTGTGTTCTTTGGCTTTCATTATGAGAGCTTGCAGATTATTTGCATTTTCAGCTATCATATTAATGCTGTCGGCATAACATTAGATTATTGATGTTTCTTTATCAGTTTTAAAACCACTTTCCTCCTCTTCCAATCCGGCTTCCCTCAATATATATGCAGCATAGAGGTTGAATAAATAAAAAGATAGCTTTGTCCCACTGCTTTGCTAATCTGGAGCCAGCAGAATCAGACCAGCGTGAATACTGGATCTTCTGATTTAGAGAAATCTGTTAAAACCAGCTGCTTCTTACCTTTGTGAGCCAGCTACTTAGCAAACCTTTGAACTGTTTTCGGTGGCTACTTGAGGTGCTGATACCTGCTAAATGTCTTGCATTTTCTAAGGTGCAGACAGAGCTGGGCTTTCTCATACCAAGAGAACTCCATATACATTCAAGAGCTGCACTTTTCTATTCCATGTATTCAGAGACTGAATTGCAGTCTTCAGAAGAAGCTGAAGTATTGAAGCTTTGATTTAAATTATGTTTTGGTGATCTTTTGCCAGAAAGAAAATTTACATAAGAAGATGTTATTCTATCATAAAAATGCATGAAATTATGCAGCCCTCTTTTGATGGCATTTTGGCGGATAATGCTTTTCTAGCTCATCAAAATAAAAGAGAATATTTGTAAATCAGGGTTGAAATGAGGGGTCCTTGCTATTGTCTGAGCTTAGTTGCTTTCTTACAGATATTTCATTACTTGAACTAGATAACATTATTATTGTATCAGCACTGATGATGTTACCTAGTTTGGGTAACGAAACATCTGCAATAAAGCAACCAAGCTCAGAGAGCACCAAGGACTCTTCATCATAATAAATTGATTCATATACCCAAGGATATCTAATAGACAATTTTGCAAGAATAATATTCTTTTTCCACATTGCTTTGGATCAGTATAAGTAGTCCTTGACTTACGACCAGTTGTTTAATGACTATTTGAAGTTACAACAGCCGCAGAAAGGGGCCATCGTGGCGCAATGGTTAGGGTGCAGTACTGCAGCTACTTCAGCTGACTGCTAGTCCAGCAGATCAGCGGATCAAATCTCACCGGCTCAAGGTTGACTCAGCCTTCCATCCTTCCGAGGTGGGTAAAATGAGGATCCAGATTGTTGGGGGCAATATGCTATTTGGTATACTGTCTTTGGTGTAAGCTGCCCAGAGTCCTCGGAGAGTGGGCGGCATAGAAATATGAATAATAAAATAAATAATAAAGTAAATAAAACATTGCACCAATGCCTGCCCACCCCACAGTCTCACAACTGCATTTTTGGACCCGGTTTGCATTTACTACCAGTTGTGGTGTTCTGCGGTCACGTGACCACAATTTGTGATGTTTTTTTGAAATTTCTGGCTAAAAAAAAACCATACCCATTGAGGAGAATGGATTTGCTTAATGATCACATTAGTTTGACTTAAACTAATGTGTGATTTGCTTAATAACTACTGTAAAAATAGTAAAAAAAAATAATTCAGTCACATGAGGACATTGATTTATGACTGAAATTCCAGTCCTAATTGTGGTCATGTGTCAAGGATTATCTATATAAACATTGTAAGCATAAATGAGCTATCCAGGAGCCTGGATAGCTCAGCAGACTAAAAAAGCCTGTTATTAACATTCAGCTGTCTGCAATTATTGCAAGTTCGAATCTCCCCAGGCTCAAGGTTGACTCAGCCTTCCATCCTTTCTAAGGTAGGTAAATTGAGGACTCAGTTTGTGGGGGCAATAAGCTAATTTTGTATAAAATATACAAAAGTATGAAGGCTATTGCTTAACGCATTGTAAGCCACCCTGAGTCTCCGGAGAAGGGCAGCATATAAATCTAATTTAAAAAAAAATGGATAGGGATGGGAATCTGTACCCCCCCCCAGATGTTACTAAATTGCATTTCCCAGGACCCCTCGCTGTTGGTCATAGACTCCTCACCTTTGATACACATTCTATGTATGTATGTATAAAATATGGATGTTTGTGAATGCTTTATAGTTGAGTAGCCTATGATATGAGAGGGAAATTGTGTACTTGCATATACAAGACGTTTGTGACCAAAAATCAGCAGAAGTAAAAGACATAGCATGATTTATGACAATGCAACTAATTTAAAATCCAGCATTTCAATATAACTCCTTTGTATTCTTGCATGGAAAACATTTATTAAATGAGGTTAAAATGAATATTTATGACCTTTCTGTGTATTTATTCATGATAAATCAGTTACTTTGCAATTCAGATTTTTCAGAACGATTTTTAAAAATTGCATTATGTACATTTATCTGATACATGTTTGTTTTTAGGCAAAAACCAAGAAGTAATCTACACCATTAACTTTCCCAAAATTAAGTGCACATCCAGATATTGGTTAATATAATTATTGCTGAATTTTGAGAGTTGTTACCCTTCTAACAAATGCAAGAAAATTTATTATGAGGTCCAATTATGCTTTGGATTTTAAGATGCAATATAATAAAAGGCTGAAATTGTTATGGGCAATTTAGTTATGGTAACTATTATGGAATAGGCAGGAGGTATAAATTAAATATAGGACAGACAGTGAACTGTAATGTCTGGGAATTCTGTCTGTTGAAATCCCAACACTTCTGGAGACTAAGTGGTAGTAGAAGAACTAGGCACGGAGGAATTACAAGAAAAACTCTTCTCCTGGTTTGTTAGTGAAATGTGGAAAAGTACAATTTTAAGGTGTTTACAATTACATTTATTAAAGAGAAAGAATAAACATTTAAAGAACTATTGAACTTTGGCTTTCATTTCACATAGCTTTAAACCAAATGGTAACTGGAGTCCTTATATGCCAATATGTAGTTGTATCAAAGCTGCAGAGCCCAAGACACTTATTGGAGGATAAGTGGGCTTTTAGAGCTCAGTTTTTTTTTTAAAGGAACCAGTAACTATGCTTTAAAAATAAAAGAGGAATCAATTAACACCCTGTATTATAGAAGAGGGATGTGATTACATTAAACTCATTTAACAAAACTGTATTTCAAAAATACTGCATAACTATACTGTACATAATACTGTAAGAGAAATACATTAAGATATCTGAATGAGAATTCAGATCAAATCAAATTAAAATAAAATAAATAAAAAATAAATTGATGCTTCCACTCTAGTTTCATCTGATTCTAGCTTTAATTTACACATTTCCATCATAAATCTATAATAATAAATAGCAATTCCCCCCCCCTTCATTTTCTGATCTGGGTTCTCTTGAAATGCAAGCATTTTAAATCGATAGCATTTGCAAGAACAACATAAGAGACAAAACTATTTTCACAAATTGCCACAAGTTAGGTGACAAAGCCTATGCAACGTGTTCTTGTGACTATGAGGAGGTCTCTGCTTATCTGATTAAAATGATGTGTGTGCACTTAGAATTTCAACAAGCCCCCTTAAATCTATGAGCTGCATTTGAAAGTCCATGCTAGTTAGTTTCTTACTAATATGCCATAGGCTAAATAAATAAATAAATAGATCTTGATAATATTACCTTGAGCCTTCTTAAGGTAATATCAAGGATGTGTATGCTTTATTGGGCTGTCTTGGAAAAGGTAAATTCAGCCTGTATGCCCAGATTCCAAAAGCTTAAGCAATCCAGACAAATCCATCAGGTTGGTAGCTTCCCATTTTCTGACTTTGAAGAAATTTCAAATTCTTAACAAAGTTTGGGAGTGTCCTGATGATAAAAGGTCCAACACATTTTACATTTTGGCTCTTCCAAGCCTAGATGCCATGCATTATGACATTTGGGAAGCTGAAATTCACACATCTCCTGGAGGCCCAGGTTAGGGAAGACTGATGGAATACAGGTAGTCCTTGATTTACAACCATATGTTTGTATCGAACTTAAAAAGGCACTGAAAAAAGTGATTTATAACTGTTTTTCACACTTACGACCGTTGCAGCAGCCCCACAATCACATGATCAAAATTCATACGCTTGGCAACTGGCATATATTTATGATGGTTGCAATGTCCCGGGGTCATGTGATTATCTTTTGTGAATTTCCAACAAGCAAAATCAATGGGGAAGCCAGATTACTTTACAACCATGTTACTAACTGAACATCTGCAGTGAGTCACTTAACAGCTATGGCAAGAAGAATTGTAAAATGAGACAAAACTCACTTAAAAAGTGTCTTGTTTACCAACAGAAATTTGGGGCTCAGTTGTGGTCGTAAGTCGAGGACTACCAGTAATAATGTGGAATTGGACTGAAATTTTGCAAATGTTAATTTCCTGTATTTAATTTATATGGGATGCTTTCTACAACCCTAACATCTAGTCAGCAAAAGCTGTTACATGCTGTAATAGAATCTGGTGGTAATTTTAAAGATGCCATTTTGATTTCTTGCTGGGATCAAATAGTGATAATGGTTAATATTCTGCAAAATGAAATAGTATTAATAGTAATAGTTTTAATAATAGTTAATTTGATTAATGTTATAATTATAAATGGTTATATGGTATTATTAATGAAAATAATTAAACAGATGCTATAAAAACTCTTTTGTGTGATATTTTGGGAATTTAAGTTAAAATAAATATGGTCGTAATTTTTAATTTTATACGTTTTATTATCTAGGTGTGACATATGCTGCAAAAGGATATTTTGATGCCCTGGTTAAAATGGGAGAATTGGCCAGTGAAAGTCAAGGATCTAAAGAATTAGGTAAGTCAAGTATATGAATGATATTAATGTAAATTACAGGCATGAAATGTATTTATTATTTTTATAAACAATTCAAGGTGGTGAGCATATTTAATATTCCTTCCTCCTATTTTCTCAACAACAACATCAACCTTGTGCGGTGGGTTGGGCTCAGGAAGTGACTGTCCTAAAACCACCCAGCTGACTTTCAAGACTAAGGCGGGACTAGTACTCACTGTCTCCTGCTTTCTGGCCTGGTGCCTTAAATACTAGACCAAACTGGCTCTTGAAATTTAAAGTTAATTTAAATCACAATCATGCCTTATTCAGAAACTCATCTGCAGTCACTAGGAGTAAAAAATACTAAAGTACTCCTAAAGTATACAAACAGTGGTGGGATTCAACCGGTTTACACCATTTCGGCCAAACTGGTTGTTAAATTGCTGGCTGGCCCCTCCCCTCCCCACTCCTTCCAGAAGTCCACACACCCCGTTTTGGCTCCCAGGTAAGTGTAGGGAGGCCTACTAGGCCCAAAATGGGGCACGGGGGGTGCCCCCCCTCCGTGGCCCGTTTTTGCTCCCAGGGAGGTGCAGGAAGCTGAGTGCTGCCTGTCACACCCCCTGGCCACGCCCACCCAGCTGATCACAAGTATACAAGCATACAAAAAGTATATTTTATTGTGGTTGTGCTACCACCAACTGCCAAAAAAACTGATTGATGCATGGTGTGGTGAAATGTAGTCTGGATTCCCAGAGGGAGAAAATGCATTTTAGAGGAATAAAGAGACAGCAAAGTTTTAGATAGTTTGATTGGAAGGAAGAAGGTCAATTCAGCTCCTCCCTAGAATGATGTAAGGATTTTGCTTTAGTTTGGCAATGTGCAAATATATATCAATATAGTGATAAAAATGTATCAAAATATTCAATAAATTATAGAAAACAAATATAAAACCATAGTGTCAAATATCCCTGAACTACAAAATATTCATTACATGCAATTACTTCCACCCACTACTGTTTCAGTAAGTATAGTGAAGCATACAACTTCAAATTGCATATTTAAAAAGCCATGGTTTTTAAAACTTCCTAAATATTAAAATTGGGAGCAAGAGGAAAGATTTTACTTTGTCTAATAGTGTCATAAGGAGCCAGACTTTAACTCCTATGGAACTTTCAAGGTGATTGCCAGCATTGAGAACTGCACTTGGAAACAAACTGGCAATCAATGCAGACCCTTTAACATTGGTGTTTGCATTGAGTAGTTGCAGTTTCTGGATCATCTAAGCGATGAGAACGCAGTGACTGTAGCCAGTGTTATCTTCTCCCGGGCTTCATGTGTTGTTCTAGGTTCTTACATTGTGCTAAATACAAGGCAAGCCATTTTTGCCTTAATGCACTTTATAATAATACAGTTTAAAAAGGGGATGCAATGACTCAACATTTAAACACACTGAACTTGATAGTTGGAAAGCTGACAGCCCAGGTTCGAGACCCAAGTGCTGCACAACAGGGTGAGCTTCCATTAGTTACCACAACTCCTGCCCACCTAGCAGTTTGAAAGCATGCAAATGCAAGTAGATTAATAGGTACCACTTTGGTAGGAAGGTAACAGGGTTCCATGCGCCTTTGCATATGCAGGTCACATGATCACGGAAGTGTCCTTGGACAATGCTGGTCCCTTGGCCAAGAAATGGAGATGAGCACCGCACTTTAGAGTTGGATATGATTGGACAGAGAAACCTTTATTTTTACTTTATTATCAAGAGAAGAAAAGATTGATAATGACTTGTACTTTGCAAGAGATTCATAATATCGTTGAATACAAAATGAATGGCAAATAAATTTTATAAACAAACAAACAAATATCTTTTCTAGTTATTGCTGTGTAAGTAGGTACCAGAAGTTATGTTTGCCAACAGATAACTAAATACCATCAGTATACCAAACACACCCTATTCTCTGCTGATAAGATACCCTCCCTCAACTGTTCCAGGTAGATGTTAAAGAGGCATGGAGAGAGTAGACAGCCTTAAGGCAATCCATGAAGTAGAAACCTCTGAGCTGATCTCTCATCCCGCTTGGCCAAATACCAACCAGAACTAACTCATTGGGCAGGAGGAAAATCACTGAAGAATAGCCCACAATTCCAGTCCCATAAAGTTGGTCCATCAAGATATCATGGATCCATTGAGTGATCAAGGAGGACCAAAAGGGTTGTACTCTCCTACTCCCAGTCTCTCTAAAGCTCATCCGCAAATGTAATCAACACAGTTTCTATGCTATACTTTAGCCAAGATCCACTTAATCCCGTTCCTCTGGAGTTTTCTGAAGTTGCATTTCCTCTACAGCCTTTTCTAGAAAATTATCAAGAGTATCCAGGTTGAGGGAAGGCTTTGTGAACAGTGGGCACACCACAGCTTCTTTTAGAGGTACTTAGAGAGGTGTAAATTGCTGCTCAGTCCTAATCTCTTACCATTTGTGAGAGGCCTTGACTAATCATCAGAAATAGGAATCTGGCTGAGAAGTAGCAGAGCTGACACTATAGAGACCTTTATCCACTTCCACGATTCTCACAATCTCACATTGATCACAGATTACTTCACAAGACAAATACCCAGTCATTTCCATTGAAACTGTCCAGCTAGAGTCCAGCTTTGCTTGGATCTGAGCAGTTTTATCCGCTAAATCATAACATAACCTTGAATTACACTTTGGGAAGTAAAAAGCAAGTCTAAGGCAGAGTAACTCTATTGAACTCAGCAGTGTAAGTGATCTTAATAGCAGCTGCATATAATGTGGGTGTATTTCAAATTGGGGTAAATCATTCTGCTGCCTGTGTCCCAGCCTTTTAGTGCATCTATTTGCTGTTTTCACTAGCCCAGCGTGATGTTAGTAATTGTTCTGGTAGATGGTAAACAAAGCACTAAAGAGCTGCTTTCATTTGTGAACTGTCGAAAATAATATTGGTTTAAGAGCCAAAGAAGGCAATATTTTTAAGGGAGCAGCTTGTTTTAGAAGAATTTGGCTGAACTTAAAATTTAAAAATATTACCTTGGGCAAAGAGTTAAGAGAAAAACTGATTAGTTCCCCATTTTGAATGAGTGAGTTATAGATTTTTCTAATTTTTATATAGCCATAGAACATTTGAAAAAGGCCAGGGAAGAGATTTTGAGGAATTTAAAACTTTAATCAGATATATAATTTGCCACAAATGTATTACCTTGGGCAAAGGGTTGAGAGACAAATGGACTTATTTCCCACTTTGCATGAGTGAATGATGCTTCTTTCTCATCTTTAAATATATCTGTAGAATGTTTGACAAAGGCTAGAGAAGAGATTAATAAGCTGTTTCCACATATTCTAGATGTGAGTCATCTCTATGCATGGTCCTTGCCTCTATGATGTTGACAAGAACAGTTGGCACATCTCGTGTGATCTTTGAGAGCTTTAATATATTTCAGATAAGCTATCCTCTAGGAAGAAAATTGCATTTGTAGTATTTACATTAAAACTACATTATTTTTGCTTTCAAAATTGTATGCTGTTATAAAATAGGTTTGTGTATTAACAGGAAATGTAATGTGATTTATCTGGAGAAGTACAGTAAAATGGTTGATAATCTAAACGTCCAGCTCAAGACTATAGGCTATTGTGTTAATGAAGGAGTTGATGCCCAATTAAAGTGATGCTACTATTATTGATAACAGTTTTTTAGGGACACTAATTGAGGCCTTCAAGTTAAACTTTAGAATTCAACATATAGAAACTTCCTTTTCCAGCAGGAGCTGTGTATTCACCTCCTCCCCAACTCAGGCTCTCCAGAATCCAAATCATTTTGAATTTCTTCAAGATGAATTCTTTCCAAGGCACAATAAATAATTTAGTTCAACTACTATGCCAAGCCACATACAGCATTAACTATATTTTGAGATAGTTATCAAAATGATTTTGATTCTGATTTTCTAACTGATCATAAACTATGATTTGCCAGTTGGAACATCATGATGGATTGATATGGTGTCTGTATTCCATTCCAATTATTTCATAAATATCTTTTTGTGCTTGAAACTTCACAGTAGCAGATGGTGCTTCTTCAATTAAGCCTTAGTTCACTAGTTTCATAGCAGCAAATTGTTAACAAAAGATATGCCAACTCTATTCAAAACAACAACAACAATGCAGTAATACACCATAATCAGAATTTTAATGTAATTTAATGCAAAATCTCTGGCAAATCATAAAACAGATGTAAGATGAATGCCCTGCCCTAGGACTGCCAGTATAAATACATAATCTAATCATTATTTGTAAATACTCAATTTTCTGCATGTTTAGAAGAAATAGTCTGAGTTCTTCATTAACTCCCTAAAGAACTTATTTTAATTTTACCAGAATGTAAATTAAATTAATCAGGATTTTCTGTGAATCTTGAGTACATTGTTCCATCAAAGAAAGCACATTTTATGTCTGAATGCCATGGAGGATATTTTAGATATATTCTCTATTCTTCATTCAAATTAGGAATACTTGGAATTAATGCCTTCAGTGTAGGAAACTCATACATTGTCCTTTAGTTCCTAAAAACTGGGTGGGCAGCTTAACCCAATTGTTTGTACTTCTTGGCCTCACTCAATTGCTTAGGAAATTGTTTTAGATCAGAGATACTGTATATTGCCTTTCTTTGATACCTGCTGTTTGACAAAAAGGGAGATGGTACCAGGAAAGGAAAGGAAGAGGAACTACCAACATAGATTTGGATATCTATGTTATGGTTTTTTTTTTCCTCTTTTGGTTTTGGGTCTATTCATCTCTTGCTTCAGCCCCATCCATTAAAGATCTTTTCCCCTCTTCAAGTGGGAATACAATTTATGATAGCAAAAAGGTTGCTCATCCTCCAGCAATAGCAGTATTTTAGGAAATAACTCCATGGCGCCCAAACATTGACATAAGATTCTTTCTGTTGTAGATGTGGCAGCATCTTTATATAACTATGATATCAACTGGTATAACACATTATAGATT